TTAAATCAGTTTGGCTATCATTTTATTCAGTTAAAAATATTTTTAAAATCTCATATATTTCTTTTTTGACCCATGTTGTACTTAGAAGTATGCAGTTTAATCTTCATGTATTTGGGGATTTTCTAGTTATCTTTCTTTCATTGATTCGAGTTTAATTCTTTTGTGGTCTTCTTATAAATTTGTTAAGATGTTTATGGAAAAAGAATGAGATACTGCCATTTGTAGTAAAATGCTGGACCTAGAGACTATCACACTAAGTGAAGTCAGTCAGAGAAAGACAAACAGCATATGATATCACTGATTTGTGGAATCTAAAATATCATACAAATGAACTTATTGACAAAACACAAACAGGCTCATAGATGTAGAAAAACTTTTGGTTACCAAAGGTAAAAGATGGGGGGATATATTAAGAGACTGGGATTAACACATATGCACTACCATACGTAAAACAGATAACTAGTAAGGACCTGCTCTGAGCACAGGGAACTCTACTCAACGATCTGCAATAACCTATATGGAGAAAGAATCTAAAAAAGAATGGACATATGCATAGCTGATTCACTTTGCTATATACCTGAAGCTAGCATAACATTGTTAACCCACTATATCCAGCAATAAACAAAATAATTATGATACAAATGAACTTACCAACAAAACAGAAACAGACCCACAAACATGGAAAACAAACTTATGGTTACCAAAAGGGAAAAGAGGGAGAGGGGTTAAATTAGGAGCTTGATATTAGCAGATACAAACTATTATATATAAAATAAACAACAAGGTCCTCCCTATATAGCATAGGGAACTATATTCAATATTATGGAATAAAATATAATGGAACATATACGTATATGTGTGTTTGTGTATATATATGTATATACATTGAATCACTTTGCTATATGCTAGAAATGAACATAACATTGCCAAATTAGCTTTACTTGAAGGGGAAAAAAAAAAGATGTGTTTTATGGCCCAGAACATGGTCTATCTTGAATGTTGCATGTGAACTTAAGAAGAAATGTATATCCTGTTGTTGCCAGGTGAAGTAGTCTATAGGCATCAATTATAGCCAATTGATTGATGGTGTGATTGAATTCAATTATGGTCTTACAGATTTCCTGCCTGCTGGATCTGTTCATTTCTGACAAAGCGATGCTGAAGTCTCCAACTATGATAGTATTCATCTACTTCTCTTTGCAACTGTACTAATTTTTGCCTCACAGCTTGAGACTCTATTGTTAGGTGCATACACATTAAGAATTTTTATGCCTTCTTAGAGAACCAACCCCTTTATCATCATGTAGTGCCTTCTTTATCAGTGATAACTTTCCTTGCTTTGAAGCCTGCTTCGTCTGAAATTAACACAGCTACTCCTACCTGTTTTGACTAGTGTTAGCACCGTATATTTTTCTCCATTTACTTTTAATTTATACGTGTCTTTATAATTAAAATGGGTTTCTTGTAGACAACAGACAGTCTTGTTTGTTTGGTCCAATCTCTGTCTTATAACTGGTGCATTTAGACCATTGATATTCAAAGTGACTACCAATATATTTGGAGTAACACCATATTCATTACAGTTTTCTATTTGTTGCCCTCACTTTTTGCTCTTATTTTTATCTTCTACTCTTCTTATGCTCTTTGTGGTTTTAATTGAGCAGGTTATGACTCCACTTTCTTCCCTTTTTTAGCACGTAGGTTCTACGTTTTAACCTTCTTAGTGGGTCTCCTCAGACGTGGAGGCAGCGGTCTGCCCTGCGGGCTTCTCTCTCAAGAGCCAGCAAGAGCTGAATGTTCAGTCTCTTCAGTGTTTCGCTCGCTGTTAGTCAGAGTGGCAACTTCCAAGACCCTTAACAGGCACAACAGGAAACCTCAAGCTACAGAACTTTTGAAATCACACTGATAACTAGGACCAATCTCATACAGCAAACCTTTAGATTAAGCACTGGACCCAAGTCCTGGCAATCTGACTAAGCACTGGCCACATGCAGCTCTAAACTGCTCCAGAGACAACAGTTTGCATCTTTCTACTAATACAACAGGCCTTGGGATTAATTCTTAAAATTTCCTAGTGGGAAGGAATTCCATGCTCTAACATGGCATTTCACACAGACCTCTCTTTTAGAATATGACACATTATAGTTGTTGATTTATTTCTTTCTCATGTTATAGGCTGAGAGCATAAAGTCTACCTTCATCTTATATTCAGTTTACATAGAACAGTTTGGACCATAATAAGGACATATTGCTTACTGAATAAATCAGTTGATAATAAAAAACTCTTGACTCCCCTTCTTTCCCCCAATGTGACGGAATTCTAATATGTAATCTTGGTTAAGTCATAAATGAATAAAACTTAAGGAAAATAATGCCAAAGACATTTATTTTTCAAGATTGGTAGTGCCCTCTAAGCTCCACAGATGAGAGACATACAAACTCTTGATCACTGAGCCTCTCTGAAGCCTCAGTTTCTACATCTGTAAAAGAGGATAATAATGATCAGTGTAAACTATGAGGTTATGAATATAAAGCTCTCATTACAATACATACAGTAGACACTCAACAAATAATTTTTTTCATTTCATTATTATCAGCAGCAGCATCAATACTGTCAAACCATCACTTACACTTCAGTACACAGTAGCTACTTGCTTTACAAACTCCTTCAGCTTGACCTTGTTTACGGAGTAAAGGTTACAAGGTAAAAGAAAACCCCAGACTTGGTAAGCCGTTAGGGTTGATCACGTTACTCTAGCCTCTGATGTTACAGCACAGAAACAACACGCTATAGTAAGGAGGTCTAAAAAACCTATCCAAAGTCGATTATTTGAAAGGTGTGAGAGTCAGAATAACAGAAAAGATGTTGATAGTGTAGTCAGCTAATAACTAACTCAAAGCAGATAACTGTTAACAAACTATGGAACCTACAGCACAAGAACAGCAACTGTCATCTCTAACCTATTAAACCCCTTTGTTGCCTGGAGGACTTTTATCTCTTTATCTTCTCCTTATTTTCCTCCCCTTTTCTTTCTTCACCTCTATCCTGACAATCTATGATTTCTTCTCTGAGTCTCTCTGTTCTTTCTTTTTACCAACTGAAATACAGAATTAATTCATACTCTTAGTATTTATTATACTTTTCAGTAAAATAATGAAAATAGGTTTTAAAGAAAGAAAATCAGGACTCAATTCCAGTTCTAATAATTAGCTATGTAACTTGGGTAAATTAAACTAAACACTTTCGTTTGCTCAAATGGGAAATAGAGATAATAATAGCCTCTTCACATGGTTATAGTAAGAAGTAAATTAAAATTGTAAATTATCTAGCATAAAACCTGACACACAATTCCATAAAGCTAATGTCCTTCTCAATTTCTCTAGAAAAAAATCATCTAATCCTTGGTTAAGTCTTCCACAGTACCTCTTAACAGAGGAGGAGAGCCTCCCATTCCTTGCACATATTCCCATCATTTTTTAAAAACTTTTTAATTTATTTTTATTAGTTGGAAGCTAATTACTTTAGAGTATTGTAATGTTTTTTGCCATACATTGACATGAATCAGCCATGGATTTACATGTGTTCCCCATCCTGATCCCCCCTCCCACCTCCCTCCCCATCCCATACCTTTAGGTCTTCCCAGTGCACCAGCCCTGAGTATTCCCATCATTTTTATGAATATAAATGAACCCAACCATTTCAGATATGGACAATGTCTCTAACTACAGAATTTTACACTGCACTGAAATAAACTCTCCTTAGTCTGGGTCCTCTCCTTGATCTTAAAGATAAGTTGGAACAGAAAAATTTAAATAGAAACACAAAGTAAGTAATGATAATTATAAACTATGCATTTAAGAGGGATTTAAACATTACTCATAAAACAATAATATGAAAGGTATAACACTATGTTTTTAAAACTGGCTTAAAGCTGCTTCAGTAGTCTGGACCATGTGAGAAAATAATGAACTACCTCACAGGAATAGTTCGCATGTTAAGGAGTCCATACAGTAGCAGGTCAATTGCCAGCTGCCTCTTCCAACTCATTCTAACTCAGTTAACCTCCTAGCTAGAGACTGACTCTACTCTCAAGTGAATTCTACACTGGTATCCAATAAGCATTTGTAAAAATAGACTATTTTAGAGAAGAGACATTAGGAATCAGAACAGACTACTCAAACTTTACTGCACTCAGTTCAGACAGCCATCAGACAAAAGAGCCAAAAGGAAAACCACGTGTGGCCACCACATGGCACCTGAAGGACAGCCAAGAAGACACTGTGCAGAGGCTGGTGCAGCTCAGAGCAGTTCTTCAGCTGCAAACCCCAAACCGCAACATAGGCAGCAGCGAGTGAACCCGAAGCAAGCTGGGGTAGGGGGAGGGGGACAGAAAGCCATACAGAAACAAGTATAATACATGAAATGACTGCAACTGGGAGAAAGGGATTAGGAGTCACAGGCTAGGGGGGGGAAGCCATTATTCTATTCAGGTACAAGTTCAGTACCAACAAGGGCTAAAAAGATTACAAAATTCTTTAGGGAAAATAAAACAAAGAAAGTGTTAAATTAAAAACTGAAAACCCAAGGAAAAGGTAAAGATGCATGCTTTAAGGGCATTAGAAAACCAACTTCAACAGCAAGCCCCAAGATAATAACTGGCAAATGGGAGTGGTAGTAAAGTATAATAATTTGAAAAGAACAACATTGGAGAACCAGAAGTACTGGTATGGTTTGGAATTTTATTGAAGATAAAACAGCACATTTTCCTTAAGTTCATAAAAAGATTCACCATGGCATGCAGTTTTTATAAAACATCAAAGTTCTCACCCTAGAGCAACAAAAGTGCTAGATGGTTTCTGAGCCTAAGTTCCAGGAATGCTCAGTTTATTCTCACTGCCCATCTCTGAAGAATCTGAGAGCACTGCAGCCATGGAAAAGCCCCATAACTGATCCACAGCAGGCTTTTTCTGAGGGTAGGCTAGAGTGTGACCATACTTACTGGAGTCCTCCCACTGGAGTAAATGTAGCTTCCATGCAGAATAATACAAAAATCCCAGTACCAGAAAAAGGCAGAGGGCTAGCAGCAGATTGCGTACAAATATCAAGAGTCCCATCTTCACATGATCTACAATTTCCTACATGACCTAAAAAAAGAAAACAACAACAACAAAAAAACAATTTAGGTCTTAACTGATAAAGCAATCATCTTACCGATATACTCTACCTTAAAATAAGTATTTATAGGACAATTTCCAAATGAAGAACAACGTGGAATTAGCACTGATTGATGACCTGGCATCCTCTGACCTGCTCAAGCCTGGCTCAAAGGACAGCTTCACCATCACTCAGCACTCAAGCCAGCTGTCATCCTCGTGCCTCTCCTCTCACTCACTCCTGACACCGAATCAGTGACCAAACTCTGGCAATTTCAACCTCCCAAGTAAATCTCAAATCATACCCGCTTCCCACCATCACTCCCCTAGGCCCTGTCACCACCATATTCCCCCAACACAAAGTTTCCCTGCCTCCAAATCTGCATCTCCCAAATCCATTTTCCACACAGCACAAAGGGCAGTCTATCAATAACACAAAATCTAACACTACTTCCTGGAGTAAACCCCTTTGCGTTGGTATTCTACTGCTGCCCTAGCAAATTACCACAAACTCGGCAGCCTGAAACCACTCAAATTTATTATCTCAAAGCTCTGAAGGTGGCAAGTACAGGGATAGCATGGCTCAGCAGGGCCCTCTGCATAGGCTATCCCAAGATCAAAACCAGAGGCTCAGGAGGGCTGCTGCGTTCCTTTCTGGAGACTCTGGGGATGAGCACACTTCCAAGCTACTCCAGGCTAATTTCAGTTTCTTACAACTTTGGGGCCCGAGTCCCCATTACCTTGCTGGTCATCAGACAGTCTTTGCTTTTGTGTTCCTCTTCATATTTTCCATGTGATACCCTTCAGTCACGGTGGGTTAGGTTCTGCTTATACTGATCTCTCCAACTTCCCCTTTAACCACATCCTGCTTCTGTTTCCAGGCACAGGAACCTCCTTGCTTTTCAGGTTCATGTGATTAGACAGGGCCCATTTGAATAATCTAGGGCAACCTCCCTATTTTAAGGTCTGAAGCTTTAATTTCATGTGCACAGTCCCGGTTGCCATGTAAAGTGACATATTTACAGATTTCAGGGATTAGTGTGTGGACATCTTTGGTTGTTTTTCATTGCTGTTGTTGTTTTGGGTTTTGATTTTTTTTTTTTCTTCTCACAATGCTACGTGGCTTGTGGTATCTTAGTTCCCCAACCAGGGATCAAACCTGGGCCCCTTGCAGTGAAAGTGAGGAGTCCTAACCACTGGACTGCCAGTAAATTCCCATGTGTGGGCATTCCCATTCTCCTTAACACATCTTTCATTAAATTCTCAGTTCCTGTAAGGTAAAGTAATTGCTCCTCAGGAGTCTAGCAGCTTCTGACTGCACCCTATTTACTCTCCAACCACCTCTTGCTCCTCCCAACCTCACTTGTGTCCTATGCTCTAGCCCCTCTTCTTTCTATTCATTGAACAGTTCTTGTTACTCTTCCTCAAGGTCTGTCTGGAATATATACTCTACTACCCTGCTATTTCACCTGCTGCACATTCTTTGATACTCACCTTAAATGTAACCTCAGCCAAGATGTCTTCCTAGGATCCCTCTTCCCTACCCCTACTAAGATATCTAAGACATGAAATAATCTGAGAAATATTATAAATATACCCTATGTACAAACATTATACATGAAGTGATAAAAAGTTAGCATCTTCAGAATATATAATCGTCCACCTAAAAAAGCCAAGAGATTCAACTGAAAAACCATTAGAACTAATAGAAAATTGAATAAAGTAGGTGATTATATGATTTACTTACAAAATCCAATAGCTTCTTAAAAACTATACTAGCAATAATCAATTTAAAAAATGTGAGGGGAGAAAATTCCACTCATGATGGCAACAAAAATCTACAAAATACCTAAAAATAAACTTCAGGAGAAATGAACAAGATTTTCACCAAAGGACATAAAAGATCCAAATAAATAGACAGGTTTCCAAGTGAGAAAATTCAATAATGGAAACATGTCAGTTCTCCTAAAATGTTAGTTCTCTATAAATTTAGTCTAAAGCCAATCAAAACCCATGTTTTTGTTTTTGTTTTTTAACTTAGATCTAAAGTTAATCTGAGGTCTTCCCAGGTGGCACAGTGGTAAAAGAATCCACTTGCCAATACAGGAGATGCAAGAGACTCGGGTCCAATCCCTGGGTTGGGAAGATCCCCTGGAAGAGGAAATGGCCACTCCAGTACTCCAGTACTCTTGCCTGGAAAATCCTATGGACAGAGGAGCCTGGTGGGCTACAGCCCACGGGGTCGCCAAGAGTCGGACACGACTGAGCACCTGAGCATGCACACACACAAGGTTAATCTGAAGAGTTCATGCCCAAGAAGAGTGAAGAAACTTTGTGATGAAATGAGGATTTGCCTTACCATATTAAAACCAACTCAAAGCTATAATTATTAAGCTGGATGGGTACTGGCACAAGAAAAGACAAACAGATCAATGGAACAGAACAGAGTCTAGAAATGAGCTGTCTCAATAAAGAGACACATACAGACATGGATACATACACACATATATAACTGAATTTATCCATATATTTGAATTTACAATAAGCATGTAAGTTTTTTAAAAAAGATACGAAGGATACATAGCTAACTGTTGATGTAGTTACCTTTAAGAGTATAAGACAATGAAAGGTACTTATCCCTTCATAAACTTTGAAAGAAAATTGTTATAGGTCACAAGTATTGCCTCTATAATTTTGAAAATTTAAAAAATCAAACATATGGGACTTCCCTGGTGATCCAATGGTTAAGATTTCGCCTTTCAATGCAGGCGGAGCAGGTTCAATCCCTGGTAGGTAAGCTAAGATCCCACATGCCTTTCAGCCAAAAAATAAAACTTAAAAAAACAGAAGCAATACTGTAACAAATTCTATAAAGACTTCAAAAAAATTAAAAAATTAAAGTCAAACATAAACAAATGGGACCTATTCAAACTTATAAGCTTTGGCATAGCAAAGGAAATCATAAACAAAACAAAATGACAACCTACAGACTGGGAGAAAGTATTTGCAAACAATGTGACTGACAAAGGCTTAATTTCCAAAATACACGAACATCTCATACAACTCAGTAACAACAACAACAAAATATCAAAAATGGGCAGATTTAAATAGACAGTTCTCCAAAGAATACATACAGATAAGTCAATAGGCACATGAAAAAATGATCAACACTGCTGACTATTCAGTTCAGTTCAGTCGCTCAGTCATGTCCGACTCTTTGCAACCCCATGAATCGCAGCACGCCAGGCCTCCCTGGGCATACAAATCGAAATGTCATTGAGGTAACAACTCACATTGGTCAGGATGGCCATCATTAAAAAAATCTACAAATAACAAATGCTGGAGAGGGTGGAGAAAAGGGAACCCTCCAACACTGGTAGTGGGAAATGTAACTGGTATAGTCACTATGGAAAACAATAAGAAGGTTCCTCAAAAAATAATTAATTAATAATTAATTGTTAATAATATCAATTATTGTTGTTATAATTATAATTACAATTATAATAATTACAATCCCATGGACGAAGGAGCCAGGTAGGCTACAGTCCATGGGGTTGCAAAGAGTCAGACACGACTGAGCAACTTCACACAAGGTTGGTCAGAACTTTTCTTCCAAGAACCAAGCGTCTTTTAATTTCATGGCTGCAGTCACCATCTGCAGTGATTTGGGAGCCCCCCAAAATAAAGTCTGACACTGTTTCCATTGATTCCCCATCTATTTGCCATGAAGTGATGGGAAGGGATAACATGATCTTAGTTTTCTGAATGTTCAGTTTTAAGTCAACTTTATCACTCTCCTCTTTCACTTTCTTCAAGAGGCTCTTTAGTTCTTCTTCACTTTCTGCCATAAGGGTGGTGTCATCTGCATATCTGAGGTTATTGATATTTTTCCTGGCAATCTTGATACCATCTTGTGCTTCATCCAGCCCAGCATTTCTCATGATGTACTCTGCATATAAGTTAAATAAGCAGGGTGACAATATACAGCCTTGACGTACTCCTTCCCCAATTTGGAACCAGTTTTAACTGTTGCTTCTTGACCTGCATACAGATTTCTCAAGAGGACAGGTCAGGTGGTCTGGTATTCCCATCTCTTTCAGAATTTTCCACAGTTTGTTGTGATCCACACACTCAAAGGCTTTGGCATAGTCAATAAAGCAGAAGTAGATGTTTGCCTGGAGCTCTCTTGCCTTTTCGATGATCCAGAGGATGTTGGCAATTTGATCTCTGGTTCCTCTGCCTTTTCTAAAACCAGCTTGAACATCTGGAAGTTCATGGTTCATGTACTGTTGAAGCCTGGCTTGGAGAATTTGGGGCATTACTTTGCCGGTGTGTGAGATGAGTGCAATTGTGTAGTAGTTTGAACATTTTTTGGCGTTGCCTTTCTTTGGTATTGGACTGAAAACTGACCTTTTCCAGTCCTGTGGCCACTGCTGAGTTTTCCAAATTTGCTGGCATATTGAGTGCAGCACTTTCACAGCATCATCTTTCAGGATTTGAAATAGCTCAACTGGAATTCCATCACCTCCACTAGCTTTGTTCGTAGTGATGCTTCCTAAGGCTCACTTGACTTCGCATTCCAGGATATCTGGCTCTAGGGGAGTAATCACACCAGCGTGATTACAACACATTATAAAAATATAAATTGGTATACTCTTTTAGGAGCAATGTGGAAGTACAGGTATCCCCTGTTTTTTGAAAGTTCGATTTACACCACTTTGCTTCCGTGAAACCTATGTCAGTACCTGTTTTTACTAAATGAAAGAAATTCAAAGATTTTCACTTTTATGAAAAGAGAGTAGAATAGCTTTCAGTATGTTTTGCATCCAGCAGTTACAGAGGCAGCAAGCACCCAGAGCAGTGAGAGTGGCACCACCAACTTCCTTTCTCAGGAACTATACTCAGCATCTCTGCAACAAGCCAACATGGCTTTGAAATCATTTTATGAGCATCTGAGCTTCATCTTGATTTATTCTGTGCAACTCGGAGCA